CCGAGGTGGGCCCGCGGCCGCCGGGGCTGCAGCCCGAGTCCCAGGGGCGCAAATCCCAACAGTAAAATTCCCGCCACGCCGCGCCCGCGCTCAGGAAGGGCGGGGCCACGGCAGGGCCCGCCCCCGGAGGTGGGCGGCGAGGTCTCCGCGGGAACCGCGGGCGCTGCCGAGTTCTCGCGAGAGTCTTCCCGCCGAGCAGTGGGAGCTGCTTTTCGCCTTCCCGCCCCGCCTCTTTTTTTTTTTTTTTTTTTTTTCCGTTTTTAGTGTTAATTGATGCATTGGGTCCGAAGACGGGGCCTCATTGAGCAACGAAAGCGGTAGGTCCCGAGGAGAGCCGGGCCTGTGGACGGCGGGTTCTCTCGCTGTGGCGCTTGAGAAAAGAGCTTCTGTCCCAGGGCGGCCGGGGCGGCTCCTTCCCGCGCGGAGCCGCGCGGCGCCCCGACTCCTCCCCGAGGTCGAGGCTGCCTGTGGTTCCTGGCCTGTGAGCCGGGCAAGGGCAATCAGGAGGCTGGGCCAGGGCGTGGCAGCGCTAGTGTGAAAACTGTGCCTCTACGTTTTTTTGCAGCACATCCGGACAAGTTGAAGTGGTTTAAACCTGGACCCTCGGGAACTATCGCCCGTTCGCAGCGGGTTCTTTTCAGTGCTCCGTAAAATCCACTTCTCGGAAGACCTTTCAGTCTAAGTCGGAGGTAACAGCTCAGCTCTCACTGTCTGCAGAGTCGAGAAACACGTGGCGGCTTCTCGTTCCGAGGAGCTGCTGTCGTCGGAGGACTCGCCGCGCCCGCCACAGCTCGTCCGCGTTCAGTTCCTGCAGAGGGAACAGCCCGTCGCCACTCTTTCCTCCGTTCAAACCAAACCCCGCACACTTTCTGACAGATGGGGTCATGTGGGGGAAACAACAGGACCCCTGTTCTGGCTGCTGCGAGGGCTCCGCTAGCTCCGCCGATGCCCCAGGAGGCTCCGGTGTTGTGGGGCCGCTGCAGCCCCGGCTCGTTTAGGGCCCTGTGGAGTCTAGCACAAGGCACGGCGGGCGACAGTGCCTAGGAAGGTGCCCAGGCGTGAGACTGGGGCCCTGGCCCTGAGTTTGGGAGAACTGGGTCAGCATCGGCATGGATACTTCTTCCTCCATTCAGAACATCCAGAGAGACCCTTCTATTTTTTTCATTTTCCAAGTGCCTGATGTTGAACGATAGACTTAGTTGAACCAGGGAGTTCAGTGGAAAGAACCGAGTAGGTTCTGTGTAAATAAGCAAGAACTGTGGCCCCTGCCATCAGCAGGAACCCCCAGCAGGTAACAGACGGCACGCTGGAGAGGGGATTGGAGGGTGCTTAAGGAGAGCGCCGTGTGGAAGGTGTGGGCCGCCCGCCCGCGGGGTGCAGCGGTCGGACGTCGGCAGCGCGCCCGGCGGTCCCCTGCTGGACCCGGGTCCGGGCACACGCCCGGCTGCGGCCTGGATCCCAGGAGGAGGC